CCATCTAGTTTGATTGTGGTCACACCAGTCAAAACGGAATCTACCAAGCCAAGACTGGAAACCGGCACTTGCTTGAACTCACTTTCTTATGGCTCCATTAATCAAACGAAAATCAAAGAACCAGAAATTTTGTCTATATAAACTTACTTGAAGTCAAACCAGAACCCAGATGCTTGAAAACTAGGGTTTTACTCCGTCCAGCTATTGAGAAGGAAGAGAGAAGATGCAACCACTCCTACCAGAGCTTCCCAATCTCTTCCAAACCCAAACCGCCCTCCTTTAGGAGTCAAAAGACACCTCTCAAGCACAGAGCGCCACACCCAAAGCTTCACCTTTACCTGTACCTTCGAAAATCTCTAATCGGCTAGGATTTTGGGCAGCAACAGAACAGCACCACTTCTTGGCAATATCCAGCCAGATTTAAACTCTCCAAACCCTCTACCAACTAGGCCAGAGATCCTCTGAACTATAGAGAACCTATCTCTCCRTACACTCTCTTAATCTAAGGGTGTATGGGAAAAGAGGAAGAAGAAAAAAGGAAGAAATAGACCTGATCTGATACCAATATGTAAATCAGTCCTCAAATATTAGGTGTAAATTTGAAGATTAGTGGGAAAAAAAGGAAGAAGAGAAGTAAGAGCAATAGTACAAGAGAAGAAGATGGCGAAAAGAGAAGGAAGAAGAAGAAGAAGATTTGAATTATCTTCCCTTTCTCCTCTAATCCTTTTTTATTAAGAATTAATGTTAGAATAATGACAAATATGCCCTTAAGTGGGCGGCCAGCTAGGCAGTAACATAAAGAGATTAAACAAAAAGAAATAACAGGCCCATTAAGAGAGGCCCATTAACCAACAAGAAAAGAAAAGATATTACAACAGAAGATACTAGGACCCATTCGGCCCAGTCTCTTTACACTGTTCAGTCCGAGCAACCTTTTTGAAGATTGCAACCCAGAAGTAATAAAAGGAAAGAAACGAAAGTCACCAACCTCTAGAAGAAGCTTCAATCAACCATCCACAGATTTCTGGAATTGCCTTCTTTTAGATTTTAGTCGAGTTCTGAGAGGAGAGGGGCCGAAGTGCTCTCAGAGCTGGGACGAGTTTGTTCCTGGTACTGTTCCTTCTCAGGGCTGGGTCGAAGTGTTCTCAGATGTGCTACGACCAGAGAATGGATTTAGAGAGTATCATCCCGCTCTGATACCATGTTTTTGGCTAGGAGAAGAAGAGAAGAAGAAGATGAAGGAGAAGAAGAGACGAAGGATATGAGAATCCGAGAAGATGAGCCTACGGCTCCAGCTCTATTATATTAAATAGTAGGGCGACTAAACAAAATAAAACAAAAGAAACAGATAAAAATGCCCCTCTACGGCGTATAATACAAATTACATCAATACTAAATCTAAAGACCTTGATAATTTAGAAATTTTATTAGTACAACTAGCTTCCCAAAGCTTCCTCTATAAAGAAGAGCCATAAATGAGTTTGTTTTCAGGAAGAAAAAAGAATTTGAAGGGTAGAATAACCAAAAATCCAATCAAATAACTAATTTTCATCCAAAAGAAAATGCAGTTGATCAAAACTCTATCATTGAGGATGCGACATATTGCATGCTCAAATGAGGAGATTTTCATTTTGCTTATATTTATCGATTTGGCAATTCACATAAGAACTTCTTCCATCTATCTCAATACAGTGATTTCCACAGAATTGGTTCCATCCAAGATTTGGATAGAACAATTGAACTGTAAGATTGCTCCACCTATTTTCGATAATTGTAAGTTAGAATCATATGGATTTTTCACTTTTAAGTACTACCAAGTTGAACAAAAGAGAGTCGTTTCAAAAGTTAGTTTTGAAAATAAGAATAAGATTAGCATATTATGGAATATCCAACAACATGGTCAACTTAAAACTCCAAAAAGAAATCATATTACCTTTATTCGGATTAATGGTAGCTTGATCTCTGGTCTGCTGGCAGCCTTTTCATTAGACTTGTCTATTAGGTTTCTAACCTAAAAGGATTTAACCTTATAAATATAACAATAATATGTTTTCACCAAGAAAAAATGTCAAAGAAGAGCTAAAAACAGAGTCCACAATCTCTTCTAAATGTATGAAATTAGGTATTTAGCGCTTACCACTTTGTCCAAATGTTCAAGAATGGATGTTTGGTCATTGGGATCAATGTCACTTACATCCTTTAATACAACCTATGTCATGGATATCCAACAGTTAAGAGATTTTCCTTACACAACTAAACAAAGTAGACTATTAAGTTACTTACTTCAGTATATTCAAAAGGTCTAACTGACTTTAGTGGTATCTTAGTGGGGCGATATTGATTTCCCTATGTAAGAAAAACTTCATTGAGTGTAAAAGACAACATGGTAAGAGGAACTAAGAAAAGAGGAACTCATACTTGTAAATAGGAATATATGAAGTAGAAACTTCCAACAAAACAACCTTAATTTCCAAAAGAAGTGCATGCTTAGGCTTTGCTTCCCCATCAATTAGTGAAGTTGCAACAGAGGAACCTGGTTGAGTAATGTGGAAGCCCATCCCTGAAACTTCCTGTTGAAATCAGAATCAGAAACTACCTTCAATAAAATACTATAACAGAGGTTAAATCATGAAAGCTAAATTTGGTGGCACCTTGGGATCAATAAGGCATTCATGTTCATGACCCCACACTATGAAGTCCAGGAATCGTGGCAGGAAATGCTCATTTATCGCATTTTTGGGATTTGCCTTTACCCTACAGACCACATGAGTATATAATGAAATACGGACATGATTGAATAAGACCACAGATCAGGTAGTTAAGAAATGGATGGACCTAGCGCATTCCAGTCCGGCATACGATCTAAGGTAGTCTAAACAATGAATAACCTAATAACCTGTTTTGATGAAGTACTAGGATGTTGAACCAATCTGAATCTTGGCACCCTTCTTGAGTTTCAGGTCGCATCCACTGTACAGCATGTGGTGTCTGAGGCATTAAATAACAGCAACAACAACAATAAAAACTCCAACAAATGCTCATTAGCTACAAACATATAAAGAGAAAGTGGTCCAGATGTCAAAATGGAAAATACCTGAAACATTCTATTAAGTCGTTCATCTCTAATGTTTCCTAGTCCATACAAAGCCACAGCTGTTGAACCCTGATCAGAGAGGAAAAATCCTATTATTTTCTATAAAGAAGTAAAAAGATAATCACACCATTAAAAACTATGACAAGTTTACATCATTCTGTAAAGAAGTAAATATTGCTCCTAGCAGTCAAGTCTTAGTGTGACAAACCTTCTTGATAAGTATAGGATAGATAGTGATCTGACCAACACCAGAGCCTCCGAGGACCATTTTCCCAAAATAGTTCACAAGATTGCATGCAGAAAGGATATCAATTGCAGAAAGGTTGTCCTGTTGCCCACATAAGAAAACGAGGTCATTGTAGTAGAAAATGAACAAGAATGTCAACTTTTAAAGATCAACAAATACCATTAATGGATTAACTGCATTCAAGTAGCCCAAAGAGAAGCTCAACAAATAGGTTAAAAAAGTTAACATATATTGATCATTAAATCCCCTCCCCTCAATAAAAAATGTATGAACATCAGATTTATTCTTCTAAGGTGGTAAAACATGTACAAGTATTTCCTGCACTTGGCTCATTACTAGCAGCTTAACAATGTGGATGCCTAGACAACTGCTATTTACATACTGCTTGCCTGGAACCTAACTAAGCAAAATGGTTGTCTAAACAATGTTTTGCTATCAAGCAGACTAAAAAGCCAGAAAATCCCCTATGCTAAAAAATGCATTTGACAAGGTAGGCATTTACTCTATTACAATATTATAATCCTCCATAAAGAAAGATACTCTATTGCAAAACTAGCCAAAAGGAAAACTAAAAAAAACATAAGACCAATCAATCTCTCACATAGTTGTCAAGGCTCCTGATTTCAGCAAGGAAGAAAGATCTCGATCAAGAGAAGAGAGGAGGAGAGAAGAAGAGAGGAGAGAATGAAGAGGCGAGAAGATTGAGACCAAAAACACAAGCTGGCGGTGCCAGAATTTGTATTTATATGTTAGGGCGACTAAATAAAATATAAAAGGTAAAAATGACAAAAGTGCCCCTGTGGCACATAACTAAAATTACATCAGTCCCCCTCAAGTTGGGGGGTAGATATCAATCATCCCCAACTTGTCACAAAGATTATAGTGCCACATGGAATTTACTCCTTTAGTAAGGTTGTTTGCAAGTTATTCCTCAGAGCTGATGTAGGGAGTGCAAACTTATCCTTTTTCCAATTTTTCCCTAATGAAGTGTTTGTCAACCTCTATATGTTTAGTTCTATCATGAAGAACAGGGTTGGTTGCAATGTTAATAGCAGCCTTATTGTCACAGTATAATGACATAGGATCACTGAGAGGAAAGCCCAATTCACCCAAGAGATTCTTTATCCATTGAAGTTCTGCCACACCATAAGACATGGCTCTATATTCAGCTTTTGCATGCATAAACTGACTAAGGACTCCCACTGCATACCCAATGTGGTCTTGTCATAGATAGGTAGAGAAGTCTGCCCACCAATCTTTGATACTACTTTATGTTTGTTATGGGCTCATCACAACAATCCCCGAGCCTGTGGTTTACATCTATAGGAGTGTCTGCAGGTTTTGCCCAAAGATTTCCCGTATCTTTCAGGATATCAAGAACATATTTCCTCTGGGAGATGAAGATACCCTGATTAGAGTGAACCACTTCAATTCCAAGGAAATAGCGTAAAGGCCCCAAATCCTCTACTTCAAATTGAGTGGCCAAGAATCTCTTCAATCTCTGTATCTCTGAGTCCCAATCACCGATGATAATAATGTCATCGACATACACAATTAAAGTTGCCATTCTTCCTTGCTCTCTCTTCACAAAAGCTCTGTTTGGTTTGTGGGATGGGAAAGATAAAAAGGGAATATTCCAAAAATATTCCTTTTTCTTTCATTTGTTTTGAGGGAAATAAAGGGATGGGATGAGAAAAATGTGGGATGTCAGATCCCAAAATCATGGATTTGGGGTTGCACCAAAACCGTGCGATCCTGGTGGAAAATTTTGAGAAATCACTGTTACCATCAACGACGAACAAAGAAGGGAGAGAACCAATGCCTTCCTCGTTACCATCGGCAATCTGCTACCTCCCCTTCGCCGTTCGAACCTAGAAACAGAGCAACGGTAGCGGCTTCTCTTTCTTCTTCTTCTGCTATCTCCCCTTTCGAACCCAGATCTGCTACCTTCCCCATTCAAAGCCAAAAGCAGAGCAGCGGCTTCTCTTTCTTCTTCTCCTACCTCCCCTTTCAAACCCAAATCTGCTACCTTCCCCATTCGAATCCAGAAGCAGAGCAGCGGCGGCAGCTTCTCTTTCTTCTTCTTCTGCTACATCCCCTTTCGAACCCAGATCTACTACTACCTTCCTCGTTCGAACCCAGAAGCAGAGCAGCGGCGGTGGCTTCTCTTTCTTCTTCTTCTACTACCTCCCCTTTCGAACCCAGATCTGCTACCTTCCCCATTCGAACCTAGAAGCAAAGCAACGGCGACGGCTTCTCTTTCTTCTTTTGCTACCTCCCCTTTCGAACCCAGATCTGCTACCTCCCCTTCCTCCCTCTCTTCTTCTCTTTCTTCTTCCATCTTTTGTTTTTCACCCAAAAAAAGCACTATTCATCGTCTTCTCGACAATGAACACAGGAAATACCAGCGGCACCGTTCATCATCTTCGCTTTCAGCCGGCGAACTACTATTCGTCTTCCTCTTGGTGAAATAGAGCACCCCACAGCGGCTTCCTCTTCGCCACAGTGCTTTTCCCATTATTTTCCCATATCTAAAACCAAACAACGGAAGTGTAAATAATAATATCATCTGCAAACTAGATCCTTAAGATTTCCCACTCTTCTTGGCTTGCTTCCCTCACAAAAAATAATAATATCATCTGCAAACTAGAGATGAGTTATAGAGACATTATTCCTTCCGATCTTCCAACCACCTATTACCCCCTCCCTATCTGCTTTTGATATTAATCTACCCAACACATCTGCCACCAAAGTAAAAAGAAAAGGAGAAAGAGGATCACCCTGTCTCAACCCTTTGCAAGCTGGAAATAAGTCCTTTACCACTCCATTCACTAGCATAGAGTAATGAACCGAAGTGAGGCAACCAATCATCCATAAACGCCATCTCTCCCCAAACCCACAAGTCCTAAGTATCTCCAAGAGGAAACTCCAGCCCACCATATCATATGCTTTCTCAAGGTCCAACTTGCAAGCAAAGCCTAAACCCCCCTGATTTCCTCATATCCTCTACACACTCATTTGCTATTAGGATTTGATTGGTTATCTGCCTATCTTGTATGAAGGCTCCTTGAGCATGGTAAGACCACTTTGATCCTTAAGAATAGCACATTTTCCAAGATTTTATAGATGCTCGTCACCAAGCTAATGGGCCTGTAGTCTTTTGGGTGTTTAGCATCAATCTTTTTCGGAATGAAGGCTAAAAAAGTGGCATTTATTCCAAGGCTAATCACATGTCTCTCTTCAAACTCCTTGAAAACCTCAACCAGATCCTCCTTAATTATTCTCTAACAATCTTGGTAAAAGGCCATGGTGAAACCATCTAGGCCTGGTGCCTTTGATCTATCCATAGAGAACACCGCTTGTTTGATTTCTTCTTCTTCAAAGTTCCTTTCTAGCCAACCTGAAATGCTCTCGTCTAGCCTTGGCCACTCTAATCCTTCCAGCCTCTCTCTAATGTTTAGAGGTCCTCTCATCCTTGATTTGAAGTGATCCACAAAAATCCTTTCTATCTCTTCTTGAGAGGAGAAGATTTCTCCATCAATTTCTAATTTGGTCATAGAATTTCTTCTCCGTCTCCCATTGGCCAAAGCATGAAAATATTTGGTATTCCCATCACCTTCCTTGATCCATTTGTGCCTTGCTTTTGCCTTCATGAGATTTCCTCTCCATAGAACACTTCTTCCAATTCTTTTTTTAGTTTCCATCTTAACTCTCCTGTTCATTCATTGTTCTTTGGGCTTCTTTCTCATCCAAAACCTCAATGCTTGAAAGTAAATTAGATTTGTGCTCCTCTATTCTCCCAAACTGATCTCCACTCCACTCTTTTATTTTGGCCCTCAACATTTTCAGTTTTTTGTGGAACCACACTCCTTTCCATTTTACACCCCTCAATTCCTCACTCCATTATTCCCCAACCTTCTTTACAAAATCTGGGTGTGTCAACCACATGTTCTCAAATCTAAAAAGCCTAAGCCCACCACCTAACCGCTCCTATCCTAACATAATAGGGCAGTGATCAAAAGTGACTCTAGGTAAGGCTTTTGTCACCAAACCCCTCCAAAGATTTTCCCACGCCGCATTAAAAAGAAAACGGTCCAGCTTTAAGCAGGTTGGGTTTTCCTGGAAGCTAGTCCAAGTAAAGATGGCTTGAAGTAATGGGAATTCCTTTAGCTCACAAAATTAATAGCTTGGAAATGCTACAGAATTGAAAACCCAATTTATGTCTCTCATTTACTAATTTCCTGTTTTTTTGTTGCAGATACATGGAATTGGTTTTTTTCTTTGTTTGGGTGCAGGTAGTCCATAGTCCTTACAGCGGAGGCTAATTTGTTGTTTGATCCTTCTAGGTTTACTTGGCCAAAAAAGAGGGGAAGGACAATGTGGAGGTGTGTCAAAGCAGCCTTAGTTTGGACTATTTGGGAAGAGAGGAATATGAGAATCTTCTCTGAGAAGGAGAGAAGCAAGGAACAAATAAGGGACTATGTGATGATTAGAGTGATTCATTGGATCAAATCTATGGATCTGTTTTCTCAAGTTTCTCCTAATGACCTGTGGAGAAATTGGGAAGGAGTGGCAAGAAGTTCTTCCAGAAGGGAAAGGATAAATGCTGTATGGCTACCCCCACCTGAAAACTATGTGAAGCTGAATTTTGACGGGAGAAGCAGGGGGAATCCAAGACCTGCTGGTATAGGAGGGGTTGTGAGAGACATGGATGGCAAACTGTTAGCCTTGTTCTTTGGCCCAGTGGGGATTGGGGGCTCTCTCAAGGAAGAATTACCTGCTGCCTTACAAGGAGCACAAATTGTTAAATGCTAATGAATTGAATATAACCAATTTGGTGATAGAAGGGAACTCAAAACTGGTGGTGGATTGGTTAAACGATCCAGATTCTATAATATGGTGTTATAGGGATGAGATAAAAAAGTTTTCATGGATCACCAAGGATATAAGCTTGAGGATAGAATGGGTGAGGAGATCGGTGAATGGGTTAGCTGATACCCTTGCCAAACAAGGGGTGAATAGACAATCTTTGTTTTGGGCTCACCTGTAATAGTTTATGTTCTGTTTTTGTTTATAGAGAGGTAGCATCTCGTGCCTCTCTAAGGGATGCTTGTAATGCCTATACCTTCAGAATTAATAAAATCTATTCTCATTTATCAAAAAAAAGATATGAAAACATTCTACAAACATGACATAAAGAGCATGTGTGCATGAAATCAATTATATTAAGTATATGAAATAATATCAATATTGTAATTTTACCTACCACTCCAGCAGGATCATCATGATTTCCATGAATGCTAAACACTGGTAAACCAACATTGAAGTTGGGATCTTCATAATTGACATGCCCAAATCTGGATGAACAAATCAATGTTATTACAGTTGAAAGACTGCTCATAAAAAAGTTGCTACATGAATTATTTAAAAAGATAAGAACTTATTTACATTTCAGGCATTATAAGTTTAGTTTCCCTGGTTGCTATATGCCATAATCCATAGCAACAGGAATATGAATATCCATGCACATCTATCTAAATAGTATGAAGAGAAGAGGAGAAAAAAGCAAGTCTAACGCTTATGAAGAAAGCCAATTCACCAAAGGCAATGACACATTGCCACTTAACTGGAAACTTGAGTAAGCTTAGGACGGAGAATCTATAGCATTATCCCATGCTAGTCTGACAAGAAAATCCTATCTTTCTTTGATTTCAAGTACTTTGAAGAACAGAATGCAAAAAATCACCTACAAAAATTGGAAAGTTCCCAATCTTTTTTTTTTTTTTGATAAATGAATGGCAATTTTATTAATAAGAGAAGAAAGTGTACAATCACCCTAAGAGGAAGCACGAGATGTTACCCACCCACCCCTAGAAATGAGAACATAACCACACCCTTAACAGAATACAATCATTATGCAGCCCATAACAGTTCAACCCTAGGAGCCCCTTGTTTAGCCAAAGAATCAGACATGGCATTTGCTTATCTGCTAACCCATGAAATCTGACTGACATATTCCTTATAAGCCAATTAGCTTTCTTGAGAAGATCCCTGTAGCCCCAAAAAACTGTTTCTGGATCTGACAACCAACCCACTACCACCTTAGAGTCTCCCTCAACTATCAAGTTCTCCACTCCAAGTTGGTTGAAAACAAGGATAGAGCGTTGCTATTCTTATCTCTCAAAATCCCTCCTATACCCGAAGGTCCTGGATTACCTTGACTACTCTTGTCAAAATTCAGCTTTACAACACCCTAAGGATGGTGTCTCCATTCTGCTTGTAATCTATTCTTTTTGGAGGCTGTGGAGGCCACTCTACCCAACTTTTCAAAAAATCACCATAAGAATAACTCATAAAGAGGTCCGAGGTTTTCAGCCAAAGAATTGACCTTGTCAATATGCACATAATTAAATAGGAGCTGGCTTCTTTGGGAGGAAAGGAAAGAAGCCAGTTCCTAATCATTATTGAAATTTCAATGAACATAATTAAATAAAAGTAGAATTGGGGGCTCTGCAACAGAGAAAAAGGTTTCACAAAAAGATGTGTTTAAGAACCCAACTAGTCCTTGGTAAATGAACTCTTAATGAACCCCATGCCATGACATGGACTGTTAGCAGAGCACTAGGTCCAATATCTGACCCATGACATACACAAGATCTACAAGAACAGATGCATGTAAAATAGTACATGTTTGCAAAATTAACTGTCTGATCGCTGACAACTTGGAATTGCACTGGTCGATCATTGAGGCAATAACGGCGAAGGATCTCTATGGTCTTCACCAAAGTCGACCTTGAGGGCTTGTTCTCATGGAAGAGATCACCACCAAGAAGTAAGAAATCTACCTGAAACCAACATTGAGGTGTTTATAATACTAGCAACAATTTTCCAAGATTAATTACATGCCCATGCCCATGTATCATGTATGACGACATGTATGCATACTGCATGTGCAATTTCTGTTTATATATATATATATATATATATATATATATCTTTCTGATTGGGAGTTTCAATTACCATGCTTGTAATCTTATTTCTAATACGATGAATGTTATATATCATGTGAGGCAAATATACTTAATAAATACACATATGTATGTATTTGTGTATGCATTTATGTATATTTTATATATATATATATATAATTTGTATGCACAAATACAATATGCATATTTATGTTTGATAAATGTTTCTATATAAGTAAACTGATAGCCAGTATTAGCAACAACAAGAATAGCAGAATTGTTCAGTCTCCAGTTGGCTAAATCTATGAATTTTAAGAACATCTTGATTAAAGGGGATTCACTTGTGGTTGTAGGTTGGCTAAAGAAGAACAATGCAGGATGACATGGAGATATAGATACACAATGAGAGAAATCATGGTTTTGGCAGCACAGCTAGGAACAAATTACAGATGGGATCCTAGATCAGAAAACTCTGACTGATGAGCTAGATAAACAAAGGGCAAATCAGAGAGACTTGTCTTGTGAAATGATAGATCAGGGGTGAAGATTGTTCGCGTATAGTGAATGTAAGAAGGCTAGCCATCATAGTGGATGTAAAGAAAATCATGTTGTAAATGTTTACTTCATTATTAAATTAGTTGTTACTCATCAAAAGAATAAGTATTAGCAACAAACAAGTTGAAAGTGGAGTAACTGTTACCTGCTTTTGCTCTGCAATTGAGCATATCTCCTCAAATGCCTGAAAAGAATCATGCCGGCGGATTTCATCCTTCTCCATATAGCCCAGATGGCAATCAGTTGCAACAAGCACTCGAAGTGTGTTGCTTGTATCCTCCCTAAAATTGCCAGCATTATGTAAGCACATAAAATAACTAGTTGAAAGGAGAAATATCTAATCCCCTGTAGATAATAGAATAGCTCAAATCATAAAAAATAAAAAAAAGCATGCTTAGCCCAAAAAAAAATATATATCTACACTTTCAGCAAGTTAAAACATGCAAGCATACAAGCAAAAAGGAACACAGAAATGTGAAGTAGAATTATGTGATGCAATTGCATCACACTTTAGTGTCTTTTTTTCTTTTTTCCTTTCTTGAGGCTCTTTGTGGCTCTTGGAAGATAAGTGTGTTTGTCTTCCACTTGTAAATTTTCTACTGATGATTTAATGAAAGTGTTATTGATCAAAAAAAAAAATTTATGTGATGCAATTGTAGAATTACATGAGTAGGAAAAACATAGGGTAGAGACCCTTGAATCTAAATACCCGCCTGAAAGATATCTAAACCCAACATACTAGACAAAAAGTAAGCCTAAACCATACCAGAAAAAAGGGAGAAACTTATAAACCACTGCATGCTTTTCATGACTGCCCATTAAGGTACAAAACATCAGATATTCAGGACTATATGATATAAATAATCTAGAGACAACAAAAATCTCATAATGTCCCCCAGATTGAAGGTACTAAAGAAGAATCGGCAGAGCAAAAATAGTAAAGACTTCATGGTTAATTTTTTTATTTCAACATATTCCACGTATTATAATGGTAGTATCGTATCACTACAGCATTCTCGTATTAATAATTTCGAATATTTTCTAGAGCCTCCAATATTTGGGGACAAAGGCACTTTATTAGCATCTTTATATATTTCATTAGGTCAGAGAATATTTTAATAAGGCATGCCACAAAAAAGCAGAACTGTTGGAAGAAGTGCATCATATTAGTCACTAGAAACAACCATTCTAGAAAATTGAGAAAACAGGTTCTTACATTGAAGAGTCACCCATGTTGTAGCAGCTATACTTCACACCCTACAAAGGGAGAAATACTGTTATCATAAAATCATAGGTGAGTAGAACAGACCAAACCTGAACTGGGCTACTTCATGTTTCTTATCCAGAAAAAGTAAAATGAGCCTCCAGAGTCCTGTTTCAAGCACCAAAATTTTAGCATTAAGTTAATATTCTAAATTAAAGTTGGAATCAAAATAAACTGCTTAACAAATACGTAAAGTTTTAATGGAAGTTAAACAATACTAAACAGAAAACCATAGAAAAGCAAAAATCAGATAACAACAAAGAAGATGAATTTGTGAACTTTCGGATTTAGGATAAATGAAGTACTCTTGACACGCAGAACACGAGAAGTGCAAAAAAGAAAACCCTAATTGCTGTACAAAAGAGTCCTACAGAAACAGAAACGGAGAACGTGACCTAATAGAAAGTGTAGCTTGCCTGCTGCTTGTTCAATAAGCTTCTCTGCAACTGCACGACAAGGAGAAAGAAAGGAGAGGATCCAAATGGTGGCGGGGAATTTTAAAATGAAAGTAGATGAAAAATATGTGAAGCCATATATCTATAACGCGAAATTGGCCCATGTGTTTCCTATATTGACAGTGATGTCCTTCATACTCTAGTCTTAACAGAAGGACACAACTCGTAATTATTGAAAAGGAAATGGCCATTTTTTAAGCTAAACCCTCTCCACCTCGGTGTCGTCTGTCGATATAAACCCCAATTTCTTCTCCGCGGAGCTTCAGGAAAATGGTGGAAGCTCTTGAATAATCTATATGCCATGTCAATGGCGACTTCTATTATCTGCTCTCCGAATTTAACTCTGAAATTCCCACTCCTTCCTCATAGAAACACTCCACAGACTCGTTTCTTCTCTCAGCATTCTGACCACATATTTAAGCTTCGTAGTTCTCTGAGTAGAACTCAGCCGATAAAGCCCAACTCAACTTTTAAGTTTTTAAGGTTTCCTTTGAAGCCTTCTGGTTTTCCGTCACGTGGAAATTTAGGGTTCTCTGCTGCTGCAAAAGATGGGGAACGAGAGGCTGTGCCCGTTGTCGACGAAGCTGAAGAGGCTCGAGGACAGAGTACAATGCCTTCGCGGTTCAGGTATTTGACCAAGGAAGCTCCAGATCGTCCTGTAAGGTGGCCATGGTTGATAGGTAAAGAATCTAATCGAATTTTGATCTTTTTATTGGTTAGGGTTTATCTCTTCGTTAAGCTTGGTGTTGTTTTAGATGGTACTTGGTATTAAACAATGCAAACCACTCTAATAAAAGAGCATTTATGGTACAAACCAATGATTGTAAACATATCTGGTATTTGAAATATGTATAAGAGTAGGATTAACAGATTCAGAGTTCGTGACCTAAAATTTCCTTGTATAAATTGATTTTCCATTCATTGCTTGGAGGTGGAAGAATGGACAGATTACAATTTTGTAAGGAATATGACAACGTTAATAATGTGACAGTCTCAACATCGTGTCTAAGGAAGATGTCAGAAATACTGAAGTAAATTAACTCATATACCTAGCCCACATGATCAGGTTCTTCTATATACCCAGCATTGTCACACAGAGTCACAGACCTATTTTTCTGCTATCACTTTCCTCCACGAGACCATGAATCATCAGGTTCTGCTACAAATCTCCAAAACCATCTTCCCAGAAGGGCTGTATTAAATTCTCTTGAAGCTCAAGAGAATTTAGATGAACTGATTATTGAGGCATCCACACATTTTAGTATTAAGAGTGAACTAAACAATATAGGCATTATCAATGTAACTTCTAAGTAATATAGTCCCCTAGCACAGTTATCAAGGTGAAACGCCAACACTTAGGCCACAAGGTATTTTCTCACCTTTATTATCACATCTTTTATGCATGCGTTCTTGGGACCTTCGTAGACAGAGGGAAAGGCAAGGCAAGCACAGAATCACAGACAGAAACCATATCATATGTGACATACTATGTTTTATTGTATTTCTGATATATGATACATATGGTCATATAGTATATTTATTAGTATGTTGTTCATTATTTATTTGCTTGAATTCTTTTTGCAATACGCCCTTGCTCAAAGTCAATGTGTTGTGATATTTATATGCTTGGATTCGTTGTGCCATTTAGTTGTGTCTTTCCTTATTTGGATTCTTGTTATATGAAAATTCATAATTATAGACATGCCTTTCCACTTTGCTAAATGGGATTGATGATATTTTATATGTAACATTGAAATTATTATCAAAAATGATATTGCCTGGTGAAATTGATGATGTAATGTGCCGTTATATGCAAATTACAAAATTAATTTTTATTAGCATTTTTTAACAACAAAATAATAAGAAGTTGAAATGTCGAAGATGTTGACATAGATTATGTCCAACAAATTATAGGTCTTCTTCCTTGATACCTAAGTTCTTTAGGTGAAAAGGAGGTACCCTGTTACCTATGCCTTGCTTCCTTGATACCTATCATGACACCGCTAAGATTCAGAAATACTTCTTTGCACTATCAAAGTAGCCCATTGGTTATGGAAGAGGAATTTAGAGACAAGTCTATTCACATTGTGGTTAGAGGATGGTGTATTATTGTAAACTCGTCAATCCACGAGCATGTTGGATAGATACTCCCTATTGGTTGCATTCAGATGTTAGATACTCCCTATTGGGTCGTGGAGACTGAGTCATTTTCTGACAGAGGCAAGGGATTTATTGGCTGCTTTAAATGCACATCTGTTCTGAATTCCAAGAGAACTTAATGCTCTTGCAGATGGGTTAGCAAAATTAGGTGCTCTTTTAGAAGATTTGTACTGTGAATTTGTGATAAGATCCCTCCTGTGTAAGTTGTAGGGGTCTGATCCCTGTTCTGTATTTGCTTTGTACACCTAGTGTACCCCTCTCTTATCTTATTGAACTCAGTTAACTTTTCTCAAAAAAAAAAAAAAAAAATGTTAGAGCGAGTTCATCATGCTACGCTCTGGTCTGGATCCATTGGATCTAAGGATTCAACTGTGACAGAGATCCTGTTAATACTTCAGACACTCAAGTTGATACTTGATACACCTAGGGATTTGACCAATTTGAGGTGAAGGAAGATTAGCAGGTGGTTATTGGTTAGATCATTTTTTTCTTTCAATCAATGTGGTTATTAATTGGATTAATAAGGGTACTGTGGGCACCTGGCTCCTATATCATCTCATCATAGAGGCTAGGGGGTTGTTTGATAACAGCCAAAATGGCTGATTGAATGACTTAATGTTTTTATTTTTTTTATAATTCTTACTGTTGTTTTTCTTTTGTGGCTAATTAGTCATGTAGGATATAGAAATTAGAGGTGCTCATGATTCGGTTAACTGAAACATGGGCCTAAATTCCAAACCGAACCAGTAATACCAGTTTTTGGAAAACCGGTAACCAAAACCGAACCGAAGCCGATCGGTTTGTTTAACCGCCAGTCCTATCACGTGAGCGATTTCAAATCTCCGTGTGAGTTTTTTTTTCTTTGTTTTTTCTCCCCGGTAAATTCATGAATCGTGATCCTGAATTAATAAATCCCGTGCATCGCACGAGTCCCCGCTAAAAATTAGAAATACATAAAAGATATACATATAAATATATATACCGGTCAGTTCGGTTAGCCACCAATTTTTTATATTGGTTAACCAAAACTGAACTGATACCTTTGGTTTTTCGAAAATACTGAACTGACCGGTTCGATTAACTGGAATTTTCAGTTCGGTCTCATCGGTTCAGTTCAGTTTGTTGGTTTTTCAGTTTTTCTTGCTCACCCCTAATAGAAATCAACTCAACATGCTACCCATCCAGCCCTTTCTTTCTGTTTTTTTTTTTTTTTTGATAAATGGTGATTTTATTAAAGGATGGAATCAAAGAAGTTACTCATTTCAGCCATGTCAGCTGTTACCAAATAGCCCCTATGTCTTTGGCATCCAAATTGAAAATCACATTTAGATGGATTCATCCAGTTCATTGGCAGACAGCTTGCTTAGGGGAGAGGTTGTGAGGGGTAAGTTTTACTGGGTATCTGTCCTTTGAAATGGTTTCCACATGATTCTTCTGCTACAATTACATGGATGTATTTCTTTGGTGTGGAAGGAATGCAAGTAACAAGGGATTGGGTTAGGTGGCTGAAGCCAGCCTAAACTTCTTGTGGTGTTTGACATACTTGTAATATTCTAAAACAATACTAATTTAACTATTTTCAACTATCTTGTTTTTTTCTAATACTGTGTCAATGTTGTCAAACGCATACTGGACACAAAATTGTTTTGGTCACTTGTTCTAGGTTCAATAGTCTGAACATCCAGTTCTACCATTTGACTCAAATAAAAAAATGCAAAAAAGAAAAATTTTAAAAATTGCAAATTCTTTTGTATCAAAATAGGTTTATAGCAATAAAAATTATACATTATAATAGATGTTGACACATGTATTTGAGGTACACTTCACCAAGTCAACATTTCTTAAAATTGAGCAGCCTAAACACTGTTTTGCTTATGAGTTCCTATTTCAAATGGTCCAACCATCTAGCCTGGTCCAAGTCTGGCAACACTGCTGTCTATACTAAATTCAAGTAACTTTTCTTTCCGTACTTGCTTTGCCAAAGTTTTCTGATAGTGTTTACTTGCATATCCTAGTACTGCCAGAGACCAGTATAAATATTTCATTTTTTTCCCTACATTTGTTTCAGATGTGATTCGTTCTTCTGGGAGATTTGATAGGGAAAGTAACACTAAAATGAAAAATTGAAAATTATATGGCTTGCTGAAATCTTTTGTTTTTTTATCTGTAAACATTTTGCAGCTCTGCCTTTTCTCGTTTATGCATGGAGAGCAGTTTTGTGGGAACTATCTAACTGGAAAAAGGTTGTTCTGGTTATTGTCCAGTTTGTGAGTTACCTCTTGAAATTTGTCATGGCCTTTATTTTCCATTTTATTGGTGATCCAATCACTGGGATGATCAGATGTATTGAGACTGTGCTCTATACCATTCGGTCCATCTATTCGGGTATAGTGGCAGCCACTCCTGTTCCGGAATTGACAGTGGTCATCATGCTGACTTCAGTAGTACTTGCCATTGCAGAAGCCACAATCCCAGACTCTATAAACAACCAGATGCATTTTCTCACAATGGCTGGCATAATTGGTTTTGCAGCTGTTAGGGGAATCATACCTGAGCTGCCCTTTTGGTTACTTCTCTTGGGGTTATTCAGTTTCTCAAAGTTTATTAAGAAAAGAAATGATGTTTCATCTGCATTACCTGTTGCTGCTGTGCTGGCTGCTGTTGGGGAGCCTTGGGTGAGAGTGCTGGCAATATTTTCATATCTAGGTCTTGCCATCTATCATCATTCAAAGATCTCCAAAGGGCACATGGAGACTGAAGAGGCAGTGATAGTTAGGAGGCTCCCTTTGCCACTGTTGAGTGCAGCCTTGGCCATTGGAATTCATCTTGCTGCAAAATGGCTCCGGTACAGGCATTTGACATGGATGATAGCATGACTTTTGATGCATTCTTTATGTAAAAAAGGACCCACTGCCCTTTAGATTGTAAATATGTCGTTGCTCTAAGAACTGGTAACTGATACCTTGCATTAAGGTGGCAATGCCTTCTTTTCTTTCTTATGTTGTTTGTTATGAAGTGTGATCTTTAATCAAACTGTTTTTTAAGATAAGGTGGTCTGATTGCAATTCAGTAATACTTTTTCTAACAGTGAAAAGGTCCTTCAGATATACTTGGAAATATATAGAATAGACAAATCACATGTACAACTGTGACCAAGTACAATGAGAGACTATATACACCATTAAAATTGGAACAGCATAACTATCTGGAATATCACAGCTCATAAGTGACCAAGATAGTATGGAAGTCAACAAATCATTCTCTCCTTAAATAGGCTTTCTATGCTGTATTTCGGCTCTTATTTGGGGCTGTGTCAGTGGACCAGATATTGGTCCAATCCAATCCCATAAATATTTTGGACTGGACTGGTCCAATTCAATGTCTTATTTGACTGTCCAACATGTTTAAATTGGCTTTAAGTCAGATTGCATCCAACCCAAACCTGGTCCATTGACACCCCTACTATCTTCTGTCACTGGACTGGATATTACTTCAATCTCACCCAGTCCAATATAAATCCATTACAGATGGACCAGGTGCAATTCAATTCAATAAATATTCTGGACCATTAAGTCTGAATTGGTCCAATTTAATGTCATATTGGACCGTCCAACCCATTCAAATTGGTTTTGATTCGAATTAGGGGTGAGCATTCGGTTTATTTGGTTAAAAACTGAATTGAACAAACTGAAATTTTTAAAACTGAAATTTTTAAAACTGAAATAAAATAAAAACCAAAACTAAAATCGAATTATAATAAAATCGAAATAATCGAACTGAAATTTTCAGTTCTGTTTTTGGTTATTTTGGTTAAAAAACGAATTTAATTAATATATATAATATTATATATTATATAATGAATTTTAATTAATTCGGTTTTTTTGGTTAATCGAATTTCTAAATTTGAAAACTGAAACCAAAAACCGAAATTGCTAAAAACTGAATTAACCAAACCAAATTACCCAAAAACTGAAAAAAAAAAATCAAAACTGAAAATTTTGGTTCGGTAATTTGATTTTAACCGAATAATGATCACCGCTAATTGGAATAGGATCCAACCCAAACTAAGTCCATTCACACCCCTATTATTATTGTAATTGTAGAGTATTTGACACAACCCAAACAGTTGTGCATCCAAAAGGTGTTTTTTTTCTAGCTAACTTGCACTAGGATCTAATAAATGACACCATTGTAACTTGCACTAGGATCTAATAAATGACACTATTCTAACTTGCACTAGGTCCATTCTATGACACTATTTCTCAAAGCTCACATCTAGAGTGTGCACAATTTTAGATGATGATAATAGTAATAATAATGTATCTAAAATTATTTTATAGAATGTATGTTTTTTTGTTTATATATATATATATATACTAGCAGGGACCCATGCAGTGCACAGGATTTATTAAGAGAAAGTTAAATAATAAAAGGGTCATACACTGATACCCCTTATACTTTCATGGATTTACTAAAATCTACCTTATAGTTAGCATTTTACTAAAACACCACTTATAATTTGCAATGGATTTAATCAATCTTCCATTAGGTGACAATGGAAAATGACAGTGTTGACTTAATGTTCATTTAAACAAATTTAATCAAAAGAAAATAAAAATAAAGTTACCATTTTGCCCTTAATAAGACATGGGCAACCACTCTATTGGCTACATTTGTTCAATTTTATTTTTTATACAAACACTCCTTAATGAAATCATGGGCCTAAGGCCTTGACCTCGATTCTAAAATCAACCCCCATCCCCGATCCCTGATGGAGTGACGAGAATGGGTTCCCCGTGGGGACCCGAATCCCCAAAATATTTTCCGATAATAGTATTTTTTAAAATAAATAAAAATTATAAATTATAAATAATGTTTTAAATATATTTTGATATATATAATATAAATAATATAATAGTATATTTAATATAAATAACATTTAATACACACACACACACACACACACACACACACATATATATATATAATCGAGGTCTGGGTGGGGCATGGACCTCAATCCCCATCCCCGACCCCGATCTCGATTGGGGATTCCTATTAATCCTCATCCCGGCAAAACATTCCCCATCCCCAACCCCATTGGGTCGGGGAAGTTAGGTCCCCATCGGGGATGGGGAAAATTGCCATCCCCAAACGTGTGTTCTAATAAATGACCCTAATAGAAACACATAAGAGTATATAATTGTTTTATATTTTCAACTTTTTAAATAATTAATAACTATTCATATTTTATATACTACTTTTAATAAAATTTTAATAATACAAAAATAACAATAATTAATTTTAGTTAGATTTATTTATCAAACTGATGAAACCAACCAACCCAATTAACTCGACCTGAGTTGGTCGGTTTTCTAGTATTTTAGGTTGGCTTTGGTTCAAAAATTTTCCAATTCGATCAAGTTGGATTAGTTCCACTTTGGCCATTTGTAAACCGACCAAAATCAAACGACCAAACCATGAATATATATTAATATTTTATATTTTAAATATAATTTTTAATATGAAAAAGTGGAAATTTTTCCATATTTCTATCTAAAATGTTTTATATCATAAATCTAATTTTTAAATTTATTATTTAATAATCACACTATAATTTTTAAAATTAAATTAAAATTTTAAGTTTAAATCTTTTGAATAGACTGACCAAACCAAAAAATCGACCCAAAACAATACAACTTGAGTGGGTCAGTTTTCACAAAAGTTTAGTTGGTTTCAGCTGACTAACTCCCTAACCTGACTAGGTCAATTTGGTTGGCCAAATAGCCTACAACTGCACCAAACCAACTCATGAACACTTATAATTTTAGCTAAATTAATAGTCTTATCTCTAATAAATAACAATAGTTTAATCTCCCATAATTATTGAAAATTTATAGAAAAATACACACTTATTGAAAATATATTGATAATGAAAACTACAATAATTATAGAAAATTACAAAAATACAATAAGTACTAAAAACATATTAATTTAGTCAATAAATAGTATAATCTCAAATAATAGTTGAATTTATACTAAATATTAATCAATAACTTATAACAAAAACACAATAAATACAATAAGTACAATAAATTAATTTTAAATTTTCAATAATAGTAATGTAATCTCCAATAATTATTGAAAGTTTTCTATTAAATAACTTAACAAAATAAATTTATACATACTTATTGAAAATACATTTATCACAAAAGACAATAAATATTAATTTTAGTATATATAATTATATAATAAATATAGATTAAGAGTTTAAAATTATTATTAATAAGTATTATTTTTTTGAAAGTAATTTTCTCGAATTATTACTTGACATAAGTGAAATTAATTATTTATAATATTATGTAAAAATATTAAATTATTATTAATTTCAATATTATGTTATAACTATTTTTCTACTTTTTAGATTTTTTTTAATTTATTACATAACTTATTTATTTTAACTATTTAAAATCTAGTTATGTTAAATATTTAGTTATTTAAATATTTAAATAATCTATAAAATATTTAATTTTTTTTATTTTAATTTTATTTATTTAAATCTATTACATATTATTAAATGTTTAAAAAACATTTAAATTGATAATCCATAAAAAAAACATAATTTAAATTGTTAGTACATAATTTCATGATATATTTTGTAAAAATATAAAATTATTTTTTGTGTTTTTAATAAATATTTTAGTTATTTTATAATTTTCTTAGAATATTTAAATAATTCTTAAATTTTTTAATCCATGGTTTCTTTAGATGGATATAGATAAAATGTATGTGAGAGGATAAATAGGAATTAGAGATAATTTTGGAGAAGTGGGGGAGGTAGTTTATGAGTAATTTTAGGAGAAGAGATAATTAAGTTATTGGGAAAGTGCATCTCATTGGTTCTCTCAAAGGAGATACATGCTGACATGGCAGTTTTAATATATATATATATATATATATATATATATTATTTAATTATGGCATCATGGGTTGATCCATTTGGTTTGTATGGTTGAATTTCTTGCTTGGCATATGGGCAAGAGAAGGTTTTGTTTTTGGGTCCTTTTTTAAAATATGAGTTTTATATTATTGAAAGTATTGGATATAGATCTAATTAATATAATTTATTTATGAGAAAATTACCTTAAATAGAGAGAGAAAGAGAGTAAGGTTTAATATCTACACCATTTTTAAAATATTAAAAGAAATGCCCATTGAATATTTCGAAAAATTAATGGATAATGAATATATAGAATCATGATATTAATGCCAATAGTGACATAGTTGTATATAACATGTTAAACTTTCCATCTTTGTCACATCACACTGTTTTTATATTATACTTGATTGGGGGGGGGGGGTGGATTATGAATTTCAAGAATGGTACTTTTGGATTTTGTATTTATAGTAGCTTTTTAAATTTGTTGTAGATGCAATTGATAAAGTAAGTTTGGTTAAAGAGCCAATTGAGGCAGAGCTTATAATAGATTATAAAGCTTTGTCATTTTCTAATGAAGAAGTGATGGTGGAGGCATTGAATGGCAATGAACCATCGATATATTCGTGTTTAAGTAGTTACATAAATAAAATTAGGAAGATTACCAAAAAGCTTTCTTTTGTTAATTTTGTTTACAACTCTCGACCTTTTGCTAAACTTTCTCATTTTATACCCTAGAAGGTTAAACTTTTGAATGAATGTTGTATATGAGAGAGCCCCTACTATGACTACAAATGAATTAGACTCGGATCGTATTAAACAAAATCCGAATTCGGTCTAATTATTGAAAACTTGCATTCAAATTTGATCCGACTATTGAAAACTTGCATTTGAAATCGAAATCCAATTGAATTTGGTTTTAATCTAACCTTGCATTCATTTATAAAATAAAAAATAAATAGTTCATTACTTTTCAACTTTTATATATAATAAATTAATATAAATATAACATATTAAATTTATTATATGTAAATTTATATATAATATATATTATAAAAATATATTTTTTATAATTTTAAATATAGTTATATATTAAAACTAATAAATATTACAAT